CTCGGTCTCTTGTAATTACTAAGATTCCTGAGTGCTTGTAACTGGTCTTGCATTCATGCAGTTCAGGGCTTCTTCAGGCTCAAGAAAACTACGGAAGCTTCTAGTGTCTATAAATCTTGGAAAAAAGCCATTCCAGGGTGATTTTTTTATGGTCCAGAATGATGATAATTGCACAGCCTCAAGAAAGCCTGGCACTCTGTACTATGAAACGTTGGAACAGAGACAACTGGGATACAGAAGACTGTGGCATCATGGCTGCTCTACACAATAAAAATGCATCAAAGCAGGCAACCTTTTGTCTTTGAGTAAAAATTTGGGTGAAAAACAATGAGCATTTTTTGATCCACTGAGAAATACTCGCCTACAGAAATGTGCCTACCATTTCCACATCCATCCTTTGTTTGCCCTCCCAAAACAATTGGCCACCTTTTGCAAGGAAGTTGAAGCCGAAATTTGGTGGGGAATCTGTGTCCAAAGAAGAGAGAGAGCAGACTGTAGAGATTCTGCAGAAAGAGACTGGTAACCTACGTGAAATTCCCCCCCCCCCCCCCCCACCCCACCCCACACACACACATCTTCACGGGAGAAAGTGAGGGGGGGGAGAACGCGATTCTTGCTAACATATCAAGAGAAGAAAGCTATTGCAATTCGAACAAACGTGAAAAAGAAGGAACAATTTTGGAAGACACAAATGGGGGATTTTCAATTTTGCCACCCTCGGCAGCAGAGTTCAGTTCAACACAGTGAGCACACTGGCGCAGCCCTCTCCACCGACGGCAGGGATTCCCAATTTGCCGTGGCCGCCGTGTAGCATTATAAATAGGGATCAAGAAATTCTTCAAAAAAAAAGGGATCAAGAAGAGAGAAGATAAACCCTAACATGCCTCTGTTCAGTGTTCACGTCGGCTGCCTCCCCTGCTCCCGTGCTCCGGCTCCTACCACCCTACGCCCTGCCGCCTAGCTCCGGAGCTACCCAACGCCGCAGCATTGCATAATACTCCAAAATCTAGGATTACTACCCTTAAAAAAAAAAGAGGGCTTCAACAATGCAGGACAACAACAGTATATATGCTTCATAAAAATATTCTGCTCCAGCTAGACATAGGATAACTAGGGCCTTCTTTAAATTGTAAGTTTTTTCACTCTCTTTCCGTCACATCAAATTTTTGACATATGTATGGAGTATTAAATATAGATAAAAAAATAATTAATTATATAATTTGATTGTAAATTACGAGATAAATCTTTTAAGCCTAGTTAAGTCATGATTGGATAATAATTATCAAATACAAATGAAAATGCTATAGTGCCAAATACTGATTTCTAACCTCAATCTAAACGAGACCTAGAACTACTGCTCCTCCACTCCAAGCACATACTCCAAAATCTGTAAAAGTTGACAAAAGCTGACACCATTTTTCTCACCCTCTCTCTTGCGGCCGATCGTCTCTCCTCCGAGGCAGTAGGAGCTTCTGCAAGACACACCGACACCTATAGTGCACCTAACTTTTACACATCGTGACATCCGAGCCTAGTTGGCCTACAAAGCCGCTAGCGAAGCCACTGCGTTGGGGCTGGATGGCCTAGGTGGAGATGGAGCAATGGCAGTGTGCTAGCTTTCCGTAAGTGACGGTGTTTCCTGTCGCTGTCACAAATAAAGTAGTAGGGTCACTCAGCATGCATATACTCCCTCCTTCCCTTTAAAAATTGCCATTCTCATTTTTCAAGAAAATTACATGTTTTTAACTTTAATTAAATATATATATATAATATTAATATTTATGGTATATAGTTAGTACCATTAGATAGATTGTTGAATATATTTTTTATATAAAACTTATTTAAAGATACAAATATTGTTAATATTTTGTACAAATCTAGTCAAGTTAAGAAAGTTTGACCAGCATAGTTCTATAGCGATACTTCATATAGGACGAAGGGACTATGAAGTTTGGGTTCACTAGATCGAAGTTGGTGGCGATCGAGATGGTGGTGGGGAGTGGGATGGCCCAGAAGTTGTCCACCGCGCAGCGGCAAGAGAGGCTGGTTGGGTAGTGTAGGTAGCAGGGGGCATCAATTAGAGAAGGAGGAGGCTAAGACTAGCGGTGACGGTGACAGAGACGGCAATGTGTCGCCGTGTCGGCGAAGACGTTCAACTGAAGAAGAAGCCGATTTAGATTAACAGGGGAGGTGCGATGGGCGCCACTAGTGCAACTATGGTTAGTAGGAGGTGTCGAGGGAGTAAGGAGGGTTAGAGATGCGAAGAATAAAAAGAGAGGCTGAGAAAGAGAAAGACATACGAGTGAATGGTCAATGATCAGCACGTTAACTTGACTCTAATTTTTTATTATAATTATGTAATGTTATACTTTTTTATTTATCCTTTTATTTTGTTTATATATTTTGTAGCATGAGTTTTGCTTAATTAATTAATGGTTAAAATAATGAGTTTTTTGTTGCCCAACTGGTAAGGAAAACGCAAACGCGATAAGATTGCAGGAGACAATGACGAAACGTCATTCGATTACATCGGGTTTGGAGCTGTATCAATTTTATATAGAATGGTATTGGTTACCGGCAGGACTTGATAACAGAAATTCAGAAACAAACGTCGGATAACGGGACCTATTACCTGGCGTAATCAAGTCGCGTTACATCTTCTTGAACCAAACGCTATGTAAGTTCTAGTGACGGTGCTAATGTCTATAAGGTCACTCGTTTTGTAATTGGGGAGCATATATAACATATGCTAAGCCGGTAAGCTTTGGAAGTAGTTGTCCATAATTCATCGACCTTGGAAAAAGTATCTTAGTATTTGGCAAGAAAAGATAATTCTCAAGGCATAGAAATTACTATATTAACTAGAGAAAATAAAATTATCCCTCTATATATGCCGATAAATTACATTAGAGGGGTAGCTCAAAAGGTAATGCCAGCCCTTTCGGCCCATAATTCAGCACGACTTATCACGTCCATCCAAAAGGGCCAGTGGAACTTGGGGGCTTGTTTGGACTCACCTCTGAAGTTAGAAGTTGCGTGCCATCTCCAGAGATGAGCATAATTAACCGATACCAAAAAATCGAATCAAACTAAGGCCCAGTTCGTTTCACAAGGAATGGCTCCTAGGAAAAATTCAGCCGGAACTGCTAGTTAATTTATACCAGGTTTGATTAGATGGAAAAATTTCTGGCCTCATCCCCCTAACCCAACGAGCCCTAACTGAGATGGAATTTGAGCTGATCAAGATTGCATCAGGTTTCTAATAATCTAGTTAGTCTTGGTTAATTCAGTTGTACCCTTGTAGGTCTTAGGTAACCGAAATAATCGAGCTGACCAAAATTTGCAAAGAGGCCTAACAATGACTTCATCACAGCCTTATAACAGCCCAGTCCGACTCTCGTACCATCCCGTCCCGTCCCACCTCGTCACCCAGCCAACCTTCCTCAACTAACTCCTAGTCTTCCCCACACCGCCGCCACTTCCTCACTGTTCCCCACAAAAGAGCATCTCTAACAAATTATTTGTTTTATCCCCGATATTAAAAATATCTAAAAGATTACTCATCCTACTCTCAATACCTAAAAGTTTCAAGTAACTACTTAAAATCCACCACCGACATCTCACTTAAATGTAGGAGATTCAAATCATGGAAAAAAGAAGTTATTACCACCTATATAGACTTTTAGGAGATAGAGCATATATATAATATGTTGGAGATGATCTAACCACACCGCTAGTTCCTACTCGTGGAGAGCTGGTAATGACAACCCAATCAGCACACTGGTGCGGTGCCATTCGCCCCATTCAGTTGGTCACTTTGCTGGCTGGTTTGGGCTGAAGCTGCTGGGCTGAGCTGCTGCGCCTTTCAGCCCAGCCGTTCGGCTGCCCTCCTCCAGCCGTTCGGCAGGTCTATAGACCATCAGCCGGCGCCCTCCTCACTCTCCCTCTTCCATTCGCTCGCGCGCTCCTAGGGTTGGGCTGCTCGCAGCTGCTGCTCGCGCCGCCGCCACTATTCGGCCTCGGCCCCCCACCCCCACTCCCGCTTCGCCGCCGGCCACCGTCCGTCCATCTCCCGTCCGAACCCGCCGGGCCGAGACGGACGCCGCCCTCCACCCGACACCTCTCACTGTCGTCATTCCGTCGCAGATCCGTCGTGTCCTCGTTGTCGTCATACCTTGCAGATCCATCCCCTTTCTCCGCGTGCGAGTGACCTCCTCCGACGAATCCGGTTGGTACACGATTTCCCCGTCCCTTTATCGTTCCTGCTTGCAGATCCGTTCGGTTAGGGTTTACGGTTCCTTGCGCTCCTAATTCACCTTGACGTCAGGGCGCCACAGACCTTCTTCACGCCACGCTTGCTTCAACGGGTGCACGCTTGTTCGGTGTCCTCCCGTTTCCACATCCGACCTAGGGTCGCCGCCGTCGTAGCCACCGGATCCGTACCTTTTATCTGCCTCCGCGTCGTCTGCACCCCCGGATCCGGTACGTCATCGACTTTGTCGTCCCCTTTCCTTCTTACTTGCAGATCCGGTTGTTTAGGGTTAGGGTTCATTGCCCTCATAGTGGTTTGGAATGAACTTGTTAGATTTCGTATTCCGTAAACCGTCTTGTCCCCACGTGTTGTGCATACGCCTCCATTTGAACATGTTTCTACGTTTGTTACGTATATATGCTCCCAGCTCAACTATGCAATTATTACAAATCTTGAGCTCTAACATCTTCCCTTCTTATCTTGTTGTCCAGACCACACGAATGACGTTTTCATTGCCTGCTTGCCACGGTTGACTATACTGACACCTTTATCAACAACTTCCTGCTCACCGCCGAAAGCTACTCGGTACAACTTGCATGTCAAACGCGCGAGCGAACAAGCAAGGCAAGTTTACTGTTATGCACTTTCCATCATTTCGTATTTTTAGTTATGTTGTGCTGTCCTTTGCTATGTGCGCTCTGATTGCTATGCAAAGATACAACGAAATTAGCCACTGAACTTGCCACAGATGCCACGCCCACGCACAAATTGGGACGACACTGAAACCAAGCTTTTGCTGGACATGTGCCTTCAAGAGAAGGACAAGTACAACTTCAACCAGTTTGGTGTAACTAGGGACGGCTGGAACAACATTTACCCGTACTTCCTACACTATGATCGGAAACAGGTGAACAACAAACTAGCTTCCCTGAAAACCCAATACCAAAAATGGAAGGATGGGCTATCAGCCACTGGGTTCTGTCGGGACACACAAACGGGGGGCATTGCCACTGATCCTGAGTACCGGAAGACCCAAGACGCTACCCAGCCCGATAGCGACAACAATACCCAGTGCGCAGTAAGTTAAGTAAATATTGCATTGTGTTTTCACCTATTTGCCCTCGTAGTGCCTGCTGCCATCCTTCTCACACACACCTATGCATCTGTCCGTTGCAGGAAACAAGTGCGGCTGGTGCAGCTCGTTGCAAACCACCCCGTTTCCTGAATGAACTTGGAGCACTCTACGGCGACCGGAACTGCAACATGGGCTCTTTCATGTCCGCAGGTGGCATTGGTGCCTCAACGCCTCCTCATGTTGTGTGGCTGCAAGATCACATCGGACCGTCCAGTTATCATTCCGGTTCCAAAAGGGACACCAGGGACCAAGTTGTTAACAGCCCAGAGAAGAAAGCTTGCAACGTGGGGGAATACATGGCACGGTTATCGGAAAGCATTGCTGCGATGAGTACATCTCGTGATCGAGAACGTACCCGTGAGCAGGCGGAGGTCAACGAAGCAATGCCAATCCTACGAGACGACGGTGTGCCAGTTCCTTCAGACATGTACTTCGAAGCCTTGGAGCTGTTCAAGAACTCTGTGTACCGTAGGGAGTTCAAGAATATGGAAAACACAGGAGTTCGTATTGCTTGGCTCACGTGGCACATGAATAGGAACAAGAAGTAGTCCTGGTTGATGTGCTTTAGTAGCTGCGCGTGTTTCCGTTCTCGTTTGGTTGGACCTTAATATTTTAATTGCTCTTTTTGTACTGTGGCGAACTCTGTGTGTAATAATTTCGTTCGTTTTGTTGGACTTGGATTGTGATAATCTCGCTGCATGTTACCTTCCTGTCATTGCCCCTGTTCATACCTGCTATCATGCTTTCCTTGCTATTCATCATAATAGGTCAGTCTTTTTACGTTGTGCACACTGACCTTCCTTTGAATTGTTTTCATGTAGGTGCTGCGGGAGTTGGAGTGTACTAGAACACCACAATGGTCTTCAGTGTTCCATAGCATGGAGTCAGAAATCTGGAACAAATATAGGTATACCTTCCGTTCACATTTCGGCACATGACATAGGTAGTTCAAACTGATTCAGTGTTGTCAATGTGGTCATGCCCTTGATAAGTTACAGGGCGATCTGATTTTGTTCTTTTGTCCTAAGCTGTCCCTGCTTCCTAGTTCAACTTTTCTAAGTTAGCCATAACTGCCATACAACTATGCTCAAATCTTTAATTGTTATTATGAGTTAATGCTAGTGAGATTTCTACTGTTTTCCTGATAACTGATGGTAGTTGGTGCCATCCATTTCGCATTATATTGGTCTGCCCTAATACAAATGTTTACTGAACACTGCAACTTTATAATTTGTTGTGTACATAGCTTACAGACACAAGTGGATGCATGACTTGATTTGACTATATGCAGGCTGTTTGGACCATGGACAGAAGTGATGAAGAAAGAGAAAATTCCAGTTAAAACAGTTTCAACGAATTGGTGACTGCTGCTTTGGCGGGAGGATATGCAATGTCCATGATGATGGTACCGCCACAAGTCAACCCTGAGTACCATCAGCCGGACCTCAACGGACGACAATAGGTAGCTAACATTTTGCGAGATCCTCGCAGATGCCATATCAACTTTTGTATGCAACCTGAAAATTTTCAACGGTTGCATTATATATTAACTACCTACTATGGTCTAGCATCCACTAGGCATATTGATTCAATGGAAGCTTAAGGTATGCTTCTTTGGGCATGTGGGACAGGGCAATCGTAGAGGCAAATGCATGAGAGATTCAGGACGGGACTGGGCACCTGCAGCAAGATATTTGGACTAGTGCTTAACGCCATGATTCACTTTGCAGATGCAGTGCTTGGCCTAAGGACTCCAATTATGCTATAGTGCCACATGAGTTGACAGAGTACACACCTTTTTTTGATGGCTGCATAGGAGCCACTGATGGAACTCACATAAAAGTGTGGGTCGATGAAGCAGCACATGATGACTTCACTAATAGGAAAGGGTACACAAGCAAAAAATGTGATTGTTGTTTGTGACTTCGACATGAGGTTCATGTATATTGGCGTGGGGACGGAGGGTTCAACGCATGACATGTGCGTGTTGAATAAGGCTCAGGCGGATCCCAATTACCGGCACCCACCAACAGGTTTGTTTAACTACATTGTCTACCTTGTTGAATTGATGGTGTGCTTCTCTTGTGTTCCATCACAAGTGTTTGTGAGCTTGTGTGTTTGTATGTTGGTGTGCAGGACGATATTATTTGGTGGACTCCGGGTACGCACTTCGCCCGGGATATATGACGCCACATCCAAGAAGGAGGTACCACGTGAAGGAGTTCAAGAATAGGACGTCTGGTGATGCGGAGGAGGTGTTCAACCGCCACCATTCCAAGCTGCGTAATGTTGTAGAACGGACATTTGGGGCTGCGAAAGCTAAGTGGCAAATGTTGCAAGGCGTAGTTCACTATTCGAAAATAAAGCAATCACAGATAATTATGGCTTCGTTTGCACTGCACAACTACGTGCATGAGGTGGAGGGACTGAAGAAAGCAGGGAGGTTATGGCAACCACAAGGACTTGGCTGTTTGAGTCAAGTGTCAGCTTTGGCATTAAGTCCCGATGCGACTATGGAAGAAATCCGGGAGTGGATTACTCTAGGACCTGGACTCCTTGGGAAGAAGTATGTGAAACTATTACAGTAGAGTTAGCAAATGTCTTCAGGCAGCAATCGTTTCTTCAATGCCTAATTTTTTTATTACTGTAGGTGACAGGGAGCAAAGAGCAGCAGCGGATGGCAGGATGGAGAGGGTTCAAGTTGGTATGTTGATTTTGCTGAATTGGGCTTCGGCTTCTTACTGTCTCAAGTACCAGAAACTAGGTACAAATTTTGTATTGTTGTTCCACGTATGCAAACAATTAGATTTAGAGGACTGATGTGATTAGGACATAATTGTTGATGACCACTAATTACCTGCTGTCACGGGCAACTATGTGCAAGAAGACTGCATGTGTGAAACTTCCTGTAGCAGCTTCCATTGATTTGTGGATTTGAATGATGTAGTAATGGAGCGTCCTGGTTGTAATGAACATGTTTTGTAGTGCAATGGCCTGGCTGCTGGTGTTTGAATTTGAAATGCATTAAATGGTGTTTGAATTTAAACTGCATTAAATGTTGTTCGGCTGATCCTTGTGGATGGCTGATTCTGGGCACTGTGCACGTTGGCTGAAATCAGCTGGAAATGTGACCAGCCGAACAACACCATTGAGCAGTAGAAGCGGCGACGGATTTTCAGGCGTGGCAGCATCAGGTTGGCGGAACATTTGTAGGGGCGGCTTAAGACTATTTGTAGGGATGGTTTGGCCAGCCGCTTCTATTAAACCGTCTCTACAAATTATGTATTTGTAGAGGCGGTTTCCAGACCACCCCTACAAATTAATTTGTAGGGGCGGCTAGTGTTATCAGCTGCCCCTACAAATCGATTTGTAGGGGCGGCTGTAGTACCAGCCGCTCCTATAATACCTGTTTGTAGGGACGGTTCAGTTTAGAATCGCCCCTACGTATGTTTTTTCGCCAAAAAAATTTTAATTTACAATTCAAATTCGACCAGAACCGTCCGGTTTGTTTCCGCGTATTCCCGCGTTGGCGTTGCGAGTGAGCGATCAACGTTCCGAACCGCGTTCGCTCAACGTCCCACCGAACGCCCCGCGACCAACGTTCCAAACCGCGTTCGCTCAAGAGTATTATATAAACTACAAGCACAAGAGTATTATATAAACTACAATTACAAGTCTAATTCACAAGAATATATACAATCCATCATTAAATAGACATAATTCACAAGGTAAAACCAATGTCAAATTCCATACACATTGTTATCAACATCCGAAAGCTAGCCTTTCGGTCTCACGAAGGTGTTGGTACTGAGGATTTATATCTAAGTCAGACTCTCAGTCATGGTAGGTGCCTTTGACGTGTACAATCTGGTCCAATATGAAGTTGCAAAGGTCGCCGGCGAGCTCTAAGAGTTGGTCATCCTTGTATGGGTCTCTTTTCATTTTTTTTCTCTTCTTTCCACTACAAGTGAACAAGTTTCGGTTTAGTATTTCATGCCATGTACGAAGTTTTTATACTACGGGTGAAGAGATTCAAACTTACCCTTAAGGGGTATCTCCTGTAGGCACGGTGTTACTCATCATAGAACATACATAGTATCCACAATGTACACTCACAGGCTTCTGCTTGGGGCACTGTGTGTTTTACATATAGAAATGTTAAGTAATGCTTTTGACAGCCATGTAATGGAGTACTGAAGAAGTAAGTTACACTTACCGCACATAGTGTTTTTATAACCAGCTTTTCCTTCCTTACTGTATCATGCCTTCCGTGATGTTTAGTGACATAGAACCTAAATGCCCTATTCGAATTATTTTAGCAAATACAACTTGTTAGTATCCAAAAGTGAACGTTACAAGTATGTATACAAATATATAAACTAATGAGGATTATCGATATATATACGTCTTGAGAATCGATATGAAATCTTTGTATGTCACCGGGTCCCTATGTATTGAATCAAAGACCCATGCCATGCTCCTCCCGACATCGACGTATATATAAATCCAGTGGTTGCTGCATGGATTTAATCATAGAACTAGATAAGATCTTTTGCATCGAATAAAATATATCGAACAAAGCTTTAAGTATAGAGTTGAACTTACTCGAAGTTGTATGGTAGCCATATAGTAGAGTGTTGTTGGAGAATTTTAAAAGCCAGAGCAATGTATGCCAAAACCTTAAGGGACTCTTCCCTTAGTTTCGCCGTACGGATGTGCTCTTTCTCCCGAAGGGTCTTTCCAGCAGCTAGCTCTTTATCATCCAGTTTCCACTATTTAGGGTAATTAAAATTTGTTTGTGCTATATCTTGAGGGTCTATATACCCAGCTTTCACACTTGGCATTTGTTTTATAATGTGCACTTGCATTCTACAAATCACGGCATGAGTTAGTTACAACAAAATTCAAAGATTACATTCATATCATATCGGAAGGACAAGGACTTACAGACACCACGTGGGTTATTTAGTAAAATCTCTGGTCCAAAGGCTCGAATCATTTCCTCCAAACCATCTTCATCTCCAACACGTGCTCCACCATCATTATTGGCACCACCTTCGTCGTTACCATCCCAACCACCAGCATCATCACCTTGTTCATTGCCAAACTCGAAATCCATTCATGTATCAAGCTCTGCTAAATATTGGGACAGGGATTCTAGAATTTCATCGTCGTATTCCTCCTCATCCTCATCGTTAACAATAACCGTTTCACCATGATGAATCCACACTGTGTAGTCCTCAATAAATCCTCGCATAATCAAATGTAATATGATGATAGTCACATCTGTCCATGCCATACGGTTCTTGCAATCTTTATAGGGATAAATTATTGTATCCTTATTCTCTATCAATATCGTTGCATGCTTCTTTGCGGCTTCAATAAATTTATCCATCTCTTCACGGAAACCTGCCTTGAACCTTAACGAACTATACATCCAAGAGTTCATGTACTCCATCTTTTACAACAACAACAAAACAAACATTAAAGGACTGCTTATTCAGATATATATAAAAATGAATCAAATTAATAATTACTTGAGAATAATTGTATATACTTTAGATATATATGAATATAAATCAAATATAATTACATGAAGCATACAAACACACCATAGTAGAGGAAAATTAATTAATGGCCCACTTATCTATAAATAATTAAAATACATATTTGTTGATTACAATAAACAATTTCAAAGACAACAATTAGCAACAATTATATTTTACCTAATATCTTTCATTCAAACCCTAGTCCAATTTCATCAAACACAAATTTACAAAAACAAAACTAATAAAAAAATTAAACCCTAGATCTAGATCTACATGCATATGAAACATCTATAAAACTAACTAATTGTTCACTAAAATCAAGAAACATGGACCAAATAAGGGTATGATCTTGTTCCCCTATCTAATTTATCCTAGTACATTCAAAACTTGGGTCTAATTTGCTTCGTAAGTAGTTCAAGCACCATAGAAGAGAAAGAAAAACAAAACTCTAATTACTCATTAACCAACCATTAAAACTTCAAAAAAAAGTATGTAATAGCATTTTCTTACCTTCTACCACCTTTCCACCAAAGGATTTGAGACCAAAATCTTCCCCCTTAGTAGAGTAGTTTTTGGGAGGTGCCCAAAGCCTTCCCACCTTTCTTTCACGGGTTAGAGTGAGTGACCCGAGAAGAAAGAAGGTGTTGCAGGTTTTTTATATGTCGGTCATTTGTAGGGGCGGCTGGTGATTGAGCCGCCCCTATAAATGGCAGGTAATTATACGCGGGGCATTTGTAGGGGCGGTTCAATCACCAGCCGCCCCTACAAATAGAAACACCGGGGGCGGCTGGTAAGTGAGCCGCACCTACAAATCAGACCCATTTGTAGGGGCGGCTCGTATCACCTGTCGTCCCTACTGTTCCATTTATAGAGCCGGCTGGTCTCTGAGCTTCTGAGCATGCCACTGTAGAGACGGCTCCATCACTAGCCGCCCCTACAAAAAATTTGTCCCGTTACTACAAACTGTTTTCACGTAGTGAACCGCACAAGCAGGTTGTAGACACAGTCATCGCGCTCGCTCCACTCATGGTAATGGCATCCTCCCTCGAATTGTCTCAGTTTCAACATTTTAACGTAACCGATCAGTCCCTACAATTAAGGTAATGGTGGATATTGAGTGAGTCGTTAAGCTAGCGAACTGGCTCGACTTGACTTGTTTTCTAGCTCAAGCCAACTTGTTTAGCTTGCAAGCTAGCTCACAAACCGACTCAAGCTAGCTCGTTAACTAAACAAACTAAATTGCTGGCTTGACTCATTAGAAAAATAAATAAATCAGTTGATGAGACACTAATAAGTCAAGCCAAGCGGAGCGAGTTATACAGCAATTTTTTTATAATGCTACAAACAGGATGTCTGATGATGCCAGCGACTCCCTCCGGACAGACAAGTGGCGTGACGTGCATCACAACTTTGACTCCCTCCGTCTCTTATTCTCATCCGGACACCGCTCGCTCACTCTGCTCGGCCTTCTCCCACCGCGCCCTTAACCCTGCACCGCTCGCTCGCTCCTCGCTTCTCTCCCCCACCCGTCGCACGCCCCACCCGCACCTCGATCCTCTCTTTGGCCGTGCGCTGCGCCGCACACTCCCTCTCGTAGCACACACCGCCCGCTAGGCTGTGCCAAGGCCGGTCCTGGTGGCGCTGGCTGGTGGTGGTGCTCGCGCACGCCGCTAGTGCTGGGTGCTGGTGGTGCTCGTGCGCCACCGCTCATCGCCGCCTCTGACCCCGACGGCTAATCGACCGCCCCAGGCTTCTCCTTCCCTATGTTGCAAATGTATGTTTCAGGTATATTACAGTTGTTTCTTATGGATGTTGCAAATGTAGATCGAAGATGTTGCACATGTTGCATACGTTGCAAGTGTTTCAGAGGCATGTTGCAGGCGTTTGTTGAAAATGTTTCATATGTTATGTTGCAAATGTTTTGATCCGGATATTTGTATATGTTTCACACATATGTTGTAAGAACCGGTTTCATATGTTTCATCTGTTTCAGATGTGTGTTACAAGTGTTCTATCTTGATGTTGCACATGTTAGTGTATGTTACAAGTGTTTCATCTATTTCAGTTGTATGTTGCAGTTGTTTCATTTGAGTGTTGCAAAAATAAATCTTAATGTAGGGTTGTTTATCGAGGAAGAGAGAACCAGCTCTGGCGACGTCGGTTGTAAGCCGGTGGCAGCGCTCCACCGGAGGACACACAGCCACCCGTTCCCGTACGACATGCTGCCTCCGCAGGCCCCGCCGGAGGTACGGGAGCAAAAGCTCGTGGCATCTCCCCGTGCGACGGAGATGCAGACCCTGGCTATGGACTTGACACGGCGCGACGAAGTTGAAACCCCGTGTGAGCGTGGCCAGCGGGCGGGCTCCCTTGTTACGCGGGCGTGGCGGACGCTCTGTCGCGGGGAGTGCTGCGGAACGTTGGCGTGGCCGTGGGTCGGACGTCCGGTTGGTAGTTATTCCTAATGTTTTTTTTTCAGCCCCCTAGGTTCTGGTAACCGAAATAATTTAAGAGAAACCCGAGAACCGAACCGATCGGTTCGGCTAGAGCGAGTGGGCCGCTGCTCCTGCTTACACCACTACCTGACCGGGGGGGGCCTTCCTGCGCAGCTCTGGCGTACAGGCATGGCGGCGGAGGGAACGAAGAAGGGCGTGCCGGCGCTGGGGTGGTGGCTAATGCTAGTCGGCTCCCTCCGGCTCGCCTCCGTCTGGTTCGGCTTCTTCGACATCTGGGCGCTCCGCGTCGCCGTCTTCTCCCAGACGGAAAGTGAGTAACCCCACACCCTCCCCTCTCCGTCTTCTGCACACACCTCTGCCTCTAGTTCGTCTGGCTCCATCTGGGCAGGCAGATTTCATTCATTCTCATCTGATCTGGTCGGGCCTGTCGAGGAGGGGTGGGAGTAGTGCTACTGATGTGTGCCCACGCCTTTTTGCTGACGGTTCGGAGGCCGCTGTGTCCCCTTACCGTGAGATTCTTCAGTTTGAGCTAGAAGGCTGTTCCAAGTCGAGTACACTGGTGGGGGACAGAGAATGGCCTCTGGTCGTCTGATCTGCTCTGTTTTCTTCTTGGTATCGGTGGGGTGTACTGTGCTCTGTGCAGCAGCACAACCACAATATCTGAATCACTGATTTCTTGCCCAAGATTCATCTGAATCACTGATTGCCCTGATGGAGATGCTCTTATTCATTCATTTTGTTCGAGGTGGACAGGGGGGGCTAAACACTAGCTTAATATTGCTTTTTTTTTTTAATTTTTAGTGTTTGCTCTAAGAATTAGTCAATATTAAAATTCCTTTTTCAGTTAGTGAGACTCATTCTGGGATGAGTCTTATATTGAGGAAGGATTTCAAGTCTGCAATTGGGATAGTTGAGAGCAGTCTAATGAGTGGTGATGCAGCTCATTTTGGGTCGGAAGCCACACAACAGCAATATCTGAATTTCTTATTTGATGGTGCTCAGATACTTAGTTTTTTTTACTGAGTCTTGATATCCTCGGAAGGTCAGAGGTCAGTCCTTTCTTAAGAGAAACAAGTAGTGTTACTGCTCGGATGTTTGCTAGTTCATGATTATTTCATTTGGATCACTGATTACCACAGAGGTCAGCAGTGGCCTTTATTTTTACGTAGAGCTCTGCAGTCGTGTTACACTGACACCTTTTAAATGAAGAAGTGTAATATAGAGGCCTTGTGACTATCATTTGGTCAATAGGAGAACAGCATCGATCTTGTTAGTTCTTAGCTGCCCCTAAGTTTTGAAAATATTGCGTGGGATTATTGTATAACCATTTCTAGATATAATCCATAGCTCATAGCCTCATATTGCTTACTTAGGCAAATAAGCAATTTTGAATCTGGAATTTTACATTGTACCTAAGCACTATCAACTCCCTTCAACAAACTTTGTTTTATGAAACAGGTGGGGCAAATTCTTCCCACTAGGAAATTTTCTTGGGCTGACCCAACTAGTCATCCAAATGGCCTGATCGGATGACTAATCATTATTAGAATATTAGTCCTCCATTAGTTGGATGGCTAATTTTCTAGTCGTGCTAATCATATCGAGGGCCCTTATCGAGTCCCAAGTTGTGATAAGGACGACTAATCATGATTAATCACGATTAGTCATCCAATCTGATAACACTGAGCTGATTCTAATTTTTTAACATGCAGTGACTGATGTTCATGGCCGTACTTTTGGTGTCTGGACTCTTCTGACCTGCACGTTGTGCTTACTCTGTGCACTGAACCTGGAAAACAGGCCTCTGTATCTGGCCACCTTCCTATCATTCATCTACGCTCTTGGTCATTTCCTCACGGAATACTTGATATACCACACCATGGCTGCAGCAAATCTGAGCACAGTTGGCTTCTTTGCAGGTACTAAGCTTGCCTTCTGAGTTCTGAGTGGACCATTGTTTTGATTCACCTTTGACAATTAAGTTCTTCGGAACCTAACCAGCTTTTAATATCGCACTTGTAACTGTTAGGTTGATTATCTGGTACTTTTATCGAAATATTCATTTGATTTAGCTTTAGGAGCTATCCTGTTTTCCTATGCAGGGTCTTCATTTCTCAGGATTTTATCAGTACTTTACTTTTGCAGTTTAAACAGTGCAATGTAGCATTTATCAGTTCCAGCTTTCAATCTTGCGAAATAGAATTGTGGGCACAGCGCGCTCGTTGCATGTGTTACCTGTAATAATGCTCCATTTGTCTTTGTTGTTTGTTTAGCCACTCTGATCAACACTCCCCGTTTATTTACATAGGGACGTCAATCATATGGATGCTTCTTCAGTGGAATCATCATGTGAATCCCCGTGGTGCCCAAGCTGTGAAGCAGTCATGAGTGATACTTGGGCTGTTAGGTTGATGCGGTCTGTGGGCAGGAAGGATACCTTGGAGAAACTATGTCAGAAAAGCCCCATTCGTACTTCATTTTTTCATCATGTTATTTCTTTGCATGAAACATTTGCCCAACTGAGTAGGGAAATGGAAATTCGAATTATTTCTGCTACTGGTTTGTTAACATTCCAGAGAACCTAGGAAACAGATAGCCACTCAAATAGTCACCTGTTGAGAGCTGAGATGCCAGTAAGGGAGGTATAGACATGTACCAAGGGTGCTTGTAGTCTTTCTTTCATTTTATATATTTTTGTCCTGTACATTAGCACAGTATGGTCAATAAAGTCAACTTTGACAGCTTTGTAGGAGCCTTCATCATGCCATATGCATCTACCTAGTCTCGGTTTCTGATGACTAAGCACTTGTTTTCTAATGCTTCATGTGTTGATTCAGCCCGGAAGAGTGAAGGTTCCTCAGTCCCTGTTACTGAATACTGATCGGCAATCATCTGAAAGAGCTCCTGTTTAGCTGTGCTGTAAATAAAGCAGGGAATACTGAATTACTGATGGAACTGATGGACATCATCTGAAAGAGCTCTTTTTAGGATTGTTTACTGAATACTGATGGACGTGTAGTCTGTCTTCGGGCGTGGAAGCTTCGCTCTCGCTCTCGCCCAGATCAATCTAGCTTAGCATCACGTCGCTTTCGCGACCATGGATAAAGCTTGCCGACCTTACTTGTATGTACCACTGCCAGTCTACCACCTTCTGGAACCATCGTTCTTCCTCTGTTGATTGCTTAAATAATGGCCTCCTGCCCTGCCACTGCCATTGCCCAACGACATACAGCTGCCACTTATCAACAACCTGCACCTGCTCCAGTCCAGCTGGAAAGAAGACGAAAGATGGCAGCTCCGATGGCCTGCTTCCTCGCCGCCGGCAACGCGGCAGCTAAGAGGTGTGCCGGCACGGCGCTGCGCCGCCGCGGGTTCGCCTCCTCCGCCGCACGCCACGACGACGCGAGTAAGAGACGGCTACCATTACCAGCTTATTAGCTTGCATAGTTGACGTTGGAGCTGAGCTCTGAATTTGTGTTTGCACTTGCAGAGGAGGCCGTCAAGTGGGAGCGGATCACGTACGCCGGGATCGCCACCTGCACCGTGCTGGCCGTGTACAACCTGTCCAAGGGCCACCAGGAGTTCCCCGACCCACCGCCGTACCCGTACCTGCACATCAGGAACAAGGACTTCCCCTGGGGTAACATATATAAACCACGGATTTACTTTTGTCCCAAAAAGAATACAATTCCAAATTTAAACCAAGACTAGAAACCACGAACTAATTCTCGCCTAGAAAGAATACAATTCTAGATTTAAACCAAATCAAATATTTTTAACTTTTTTTACTAAGTCTATAGAGAAATACTATAAACATTTTATGTCTCCATATAAGTTTACTATATGAAAAGAATTTCATGATTAATCTAATAATATTTATCTGCAATTATAACTGTTAGTATTTATTTTTGTGTAGATTAGATCAAAATTAAAGTTGTTTCATTCACTTCTCGAAAAATGAGCATTGTATTTAGATAAATAAACAGATTGCTGCATAACGGACTTCACTAGCTACTTGGTCTTGCTTGGGTTTCAGGTCCTGACGGCCTCTTCGAGAGGAAGAAGAAGCACTCCAACGACCATCACTAGGTCTAGGCGTCTAGCTAGCACGAGGCTGCAACTGCAACATGTACTGCCGATGCCCAACCCTTGTGCTGTCTAAGTTTCGAGGACTCTACGGCGGTCACAACCATAGGCCCTCAAGATGAAGACTATATATATGTGTCTAATATATTTTGCAGAGCTAGTGACATTATTAATTGAACAAGTTTGATAATGATGGATGAACAATGTCAAGATTAATAAAAGAACTTATATATGATTAAGATTGGCGCGACTGAATATAAACTGATCTGTAGTTCTCTTTTTTGTTCCTTTTTTCTCAGCACCAGACAAATGTTGCTTAGCTATCATCGTTATATTGTAAAATTCCAAACCAACACCTAAACAAAACATATACTATATGACTATATGAGCATAGAATAAAAAACAACCCTAACCAATTAGCAATTACAAGTATCTAGAATGTATTACCTATGTTAACAAGATTGGAAGAGACAAATAGAAAAGAAAACCCCAAACAGACCTCCGTTGGAGAGATGGGGCCAGCCTACAACCTTGATTGCCTGAATCCCCATACGGTGAGACGGAGAATCAGATATTGGCCGGCGTGACTGTGTCGTCAGGCCTGGTGAGTGTCGACGGTGTTAGAATTGTCACTGGTCCGTGGACGCAAGTCGCCTAGGGGAAAAAGTCTACTCGCGTGATCTAGCTCTCTCATCTCAAGCGAACGGTTTGCTGCTGCTGGATCGGTGATCGCTTCGCCTCCATGGGTTCTCGTCTCGGCGTCTGAGAGTTGACTAATGGGCTGCGTATCAAGGTCTGGGCCCCCTCCTGTGTTGGGTCCTAGGCGGTCGCCGCTGCACCCTCCCAGATTCCTCAAAAGTCAAGTGATCTAGAAGATATGAGGAAACGGCTTCATCAACGGGCCGGCGAGCCCAAGTATGTAGTACGGGCTGAAACAGAAGGCCATCAACGACAACGTGAAGGAAGAACAACGTGTTCCGTGCCAAGGACAAGAGGAGCACGTGCCGCCACTGACGCGACCCTGACCAATCTTTTTTTTCTTATTATCAAATTAGCTGGAGCACTGCTATGTCGTATATCATATACAAGTAGAGTATAAGATAATAAGAGGAAGCATCCCAAGTTTTACAATACGGTAGGTTAGCGTCCGGACGCCGCGCCTGCCTGTGTCCCCGCATACACATACCGCTACGCCCACTCGCACATTTGTGCCTGCTTCACATGGGAGCCCGTGCCGCTCCATTTCCCGCGCCTACGCGCGTCCACGTGGGGGCCATGTCACAATCTGCGCTCTCCCTGTTTTCTGCGCCTACCGCTCACGCCCCCTTCACACCCACGCGTATGCAGGCGGGCCCAGCAACTATAGTAGGCGACTGCGACAGATAGGTCCCACTCAGGCCCGTACCCAAGAATTCTAGGCCCTAGTGCAAATCATACAAATGGGGCCTTATAGAGCAATACAAATAACTAAAATGCATTTGATTATATTATATAAAGCCTGTTTTCTCACAATATAAGAACTACATAGAGGCATTGATGCTAAAAAATTAAATGCTAAATCTGAACCTTACTGATATCTTCATAACTTTTGGAGTAAAAATCATCATTCTTCGGGTATTCTTTGAAATAAAATCATCATTCTTCGGGTATTCTTTGAAATAAAATCAATCATACAAATGGGGCCCTATAGAGCAATACAAATAACTAAAATGCATTTGATTATATTATATAAAGCCTGTTTTCTCACAATATAAGAACTACATAGAGGCATTGATGCTAAAAAATTAAATGCTAAATCTGAACCTTACTGATATCTTCATAACTTTTGGAGTAAAAATCATCATTCTTCAGGTGTTCTTTGAAATAAAATCATCATTCTTCGGGTATTCTTTAAAATCATCATATTTTCTAATTCTACAAGACATGAGATAAAAATAGAGTACCCTGTTTCGTGAAAAAAAAACCCAACAAAACAAATCAAAAAGACAAAAACATATGAGGGATGTTACTAATTAGCTAAGAAAGTAAAAGGCATGTACCTAGGATCAGAGATCGCCGAGTTGTTGCTCCTGCGGTCTGCGAGAAAAACAGGCGACGGCGGCGGCAGTTCGGCTTCCACGCTTCGACTCCTACACTCTCGGTCAAAATGCGATGCAGAAACTCATGTAAAGCTACCGGGCTGGCAGGAAAAAACAAAAACCAAAAGGCCCATATAGCCATACTAGCCTCTTGAAGCCCAGTTGGAGGGGGCTAAAATTTGGGGGCCTAGTGTTGTCGCCCCACTTGCACTGGGCCAAATACGGGCCTGGTCCCACTAGAACATGTGCAACACTAGATTTACTTTTGCAACATCTAGGTGAAACACTTGCAAACTACGTTTGAAATAATTGAAACACTTGCAACATACGTCTAAAACATCAGGAAAACACGTGTGTAGCCATTGCAAAACATATGCAACATCTAGGTAAAATACTTGCAACATATGTGTGAAATATATGCAACATCTAGATAAAATACTTACAACATATGTCTGAAAACATCTGAAACATTTGGAACTATACACTTTGCAACATACGTGTATAGCCATGACAACATATGCAACATCCACATGAAACACGTACAACATGCATATGAAACATGAAACACTTGAAACATACGCTTATAATATGCGCTTTCAGCACAACATCTTCTTGCTGCTTGGGCGAATCGGGCTCGTCAATGTAAAGCTCGACGCTGGCACGAAGCTCGATGCCCGAGGTCGCCAGTGTGGAGCTCATCAGTGGTGAGGATCTTGGTGGCGCAGAGCTCGCTGGCAACAGCGCGCGCAGAGCTCAGCAACGATGGGTGGATGTTGGCGGCGCAGAGCTCGCCAGCAACACGGGCTCTCCAGCGGCAGCGCGCAGAGAGCTGGTGGGGTATGGCCGTGACACACACGGGGTGGGTGGCTGCATGAGTTCGAGACGGGAAGGAGATGCACAAGCTCCACGATCCTTCCTCTCTCTGTTGCTTTGAATAGAGAGACGGAGGAGAGAAAGAGAGATGAGAAGGAACCGGAGGAGATAAGTCTAAGTGGCCACCAGACGAGAGTATTAGATATTTGTGTGGTGGGTACAATACGTGAACAACGTGAGGCTACGTAGCGTCCGATGTCCAGGCACGGACGGACAGCCACGGTGGAGCATTACCATTTACAATAGTACTGTTACAAGAATACGATTACGATGAAAAACACATACATCCATGAACCCAGAAGCTAATAAGTCTATCTACGGATGCTGATAAGGATTGCCTTTTAAGGGCCTGTTTGGTTAGCTAGGAATGTGGCCAGTAATTATTCCAGCTCATTAAAGACTGTAAATTAGGCAAGTATTCCTGATGGGAATTGTTCTAGACAAGCATTCCAGCTCAACCGAACGATTCAAGGGCTCATTCGGTTCTCTAGGAACCTTGCCCTGGAAAGATTCCAGTTGAAATGGTCAGCTAATTTTTGTAAGTTTGATGAAGCTGGATTGGTTCCTAGTCTAGGGTAACCAAACCAGCCCTAAGGGACATCTGTCCTTTGTATAAAATCGCTCGTAATTGCAGCATTTTGAAAAATGAACACGGCCACTGGAGAGTCGTTTATCACAGACTGACAAAGTGACAATGCAACTAATACTGTTTCCCCATCGTTCTTATTCAGTTATTCCCAATCATCAGAATATATACAAGGTTGATGTCTACTGTCTTCGTTGGAGAAACAAAAAACAACTTCACAGGCGTGACTTTGCTGACACAGCAGGCTTGAAGCTCGAGATCCCAGTGATCTCTCTGCCAGTCACCAGGCTGTTTATGTCATACGTGCCCTCGTACGAGAAAATGGGCTCCAGATCACAAAATGCCTGCAAACGTAAGGATTGTTTCAGACACTTCTGTCAGTAAAGATTGTAAGTTGAACCACATGGTTTACAAAGTGCTATGAGCCTATATGACAAAGCAGCAAGTACGAAACTTCTTATGCTGAAATTTGACTTATGCTGATGCTTATGCTGAAATGCTGTGAAAGGAAAACACTGTTGGTTCCCTGAAAAGTCCTGCAAGGTTGTTGCCCTGCTCCTATTGAAAGCAAGATAGAGAGTGCTGGGATACCAGTTTACAAAACAGGTGCAAAGAAACTAGAAAACGTCCACTAAGCACCTCCACAGACTTCACCACATCCACAAACCACCTAAGCACTAGGGTTGGAACGAAACTAAAAGCAGAAGAAACACAGCACTAGAGAAAGGAGACTAACACAAGTTCTCCAAACCACCAAAGAGCAGAAAAAGAAATAAAGATAGAACATCAAAAGAGCAAGCACGAAACTTAGTTTGGTTTCTTTCCTCTCTTTTTTTGTGTGTGTTTTGCCATGTAAGGAGAAAATCAAAAGTAATTGCTGAACCCCTATTACCTTGGCGACGAGAAAATCAGCCAAAATGCCATTGCCACCCAGTAGCTCTCGGCCAAGAGAAACCACCTCCCTGGCCTTCTGGGACGTCCACGCCTGCATTCAGATGCTATCAGTTGATTGTATACTAAACTACCAATGATGAAAACATAGACAGACTCAAGATGCTAAATCCATCGCTAGCTATATTGTAGCCTACGAACCTTGCCTAAACTAGATCGGCCTGGTGTCATTTTGCCTGACTCATACAGCTTGCACAGTCGCCAGCCAACGAGAAGCATAGCCTGAATGTTGCCAAGCATTCGGACAAGCTTTTCTTGATTGAGCTGAAAAGCTGCCAGTGGAGCTCCAAATTGCTTTCTCTCTTTCAAGTACCTATTTGTTCAGTAAAAGGTTGTGATATAGTGGAAATATTAAACATATCATGCTGAATAAACTAAAAATAGATGTAGTAATGTGATTCCCACCGATGGCAGATGTCAAAAACTCCCATTGATATGCCTATTGGTTGCCATGCCACCATAATTCGAGACATAGCGAGTACCTGTTTCAGAAGTTAAAACTTTGACTCAATATGATCCTGATTATCTGACAAAGCACAGGCCACAACAGGTTGTAAAAGAGGCATCCAGTCAGTACCTTGTTTATATCCTGAAATGAATTGATGCCTGTTAATCTGTCTTCCTCAGGGACAAATACTTTATTTAGAATTATGTCTCCATTTTGAACCATTCTGAGTCCAATTTTATTTTCAATTTTTGTCGCTTTTAGACCGGGAGCTCCTTTCTTTACAATAAATCTAGAATAACGCAACACATTAATTGTCAGAAAGCAAGGTTTTCCTTGCATTGATCAAAATAGATATACCTTCATATAGAGACGTACAGGATCAATAGATACAGTACCAGCAGTATAATAAGGCCAGGAAGAAAAAGATGATTACCCATTTAGTTGGTTCGTATCTGCATTCCTAGCCAAAATGATGAGGACATCTGCAAAAGTGCTGTTACCTATCCAGCGTTTTTGTCCATCTAACTGCCAACCACCAGGTACCTACCAAAATAAAAAAACCAACATGATAAGGTAGGGTGAAAAGGCCACATCATTGGCATTACTAGAACTATCCAAATTTATCTTAGAAAATCATGCTCCCAAATTAACTAAACCTTGGTTGCTGCAGTCCTTAGGGAGCTTGCATCACTTCCATAATCTGGCTCTGTCAATGCCTGCAGAAAGCAGACAATCCTCTCAGAAAGGTGAAAATATCAAATAGCATGCTCAACCCTCTAAGAGTGGAGTGTTGACATGACAGTACGAGAAATAGTTATAAAATACATTGGACAATGTAACTCACCCAACAACCAATAGTTTTGAACTCGGCAAGAGATGGCAAGTATTTCTGCTTTTGAGCCTCAGATCCACAAAGGGCTACTCTTCAGGAAGAAAACAATAACTGAAATCCTGAGCATAGGTGTACAAAGTTGTTTGGACGTTAGGTATAAAATGTTCTGAGAAATGCTAGATTTACCAATCGTGGACATAGCCAACGAGGAGTGCACTAGAATAAATGTGGAGCAGCTCGCATCGACCCGTGCAACTTCTGCTATCGAAATAGCACTAGCTGTAAGCGAGAGTCCTGGGCACCCATACCCCTGTACATTTAAAGGGAAAAATTAATGAAATGATGTGCAGGTGGATAGGCTTTACCTTCAAAATAGAGCCCATATTTGTTTGGTTGCTACCTTTATTGTACCACCAGCTAAGCCGAGACTGGCAAGGCTGGGAATGGCATGGAATGGGAATTCAGCCTTCTCCCAGTACTGCAGAGTAAAATGACGTCATTTAAGCGTATGACAAGATGAGGCAGTATAAAGGACTTGCACTTGCAGTGCATTAGCAAGTCAGTTCAAGGGAGAGTAAAATGCAATGGTCGAAAAGGAATATGGTACATACTATACCACTACAATATTTCATTAAAAAAAGATATTTCACTGAAAAGCTACTCCATATTAAATGTTTTGTGAGAAAATCAGAAAGATTGCATATGTTGTTGTTTAGTAAATCCGAGTCGAGCGGTTACTCTCTAGCAGCATAATGCCTTTTTATTGATTCTGTCTGGCTACTTTGGTAGCCCAGTCTATGTATATTACAGCTAGTTTTGTCTTCTTAAGGTTAATGAAGAGCAGTTCTCTTGCCATTACTCGTCAATCAAAAAGAAAAACATGGAGAGATTAGTAACTGTCTTTAGCAAGAGCATACCTCAGTCATAATGGGCGGGATTTCCTTTTCCATGATACCCCGGACCTTCTTCCTGAGTGCCTTCTCTTCATCAGTCAGCAAATCATCAAATTGGTAGTAGTCCGAGGCTGCAACCAACAACAGGTCAGCTCAAAGGTAAATAAACGGAAATTGATAACAGACATCCTGCAAATTATGATGCAGTAGTCAAAGATTGTACTAGTATGCAAGTAAGGTCCTGTTTGCTAACTAGCCTAGCTTACACGAGCATTAATTACGCAATTATCCTGGAGATTAAATAGGGCCTAATTTTAGATAATCAAAGTTTTTCACTCTCTTTCCGACATCGAATCTTTTAAGCCTAATTAGTCCATGATTTAAACAACGATGATGCTATAACTAAACATGTGCTTTGACAGATTAATTAAATTAAAAAGCGAATCTTTTGAAATTAGCCTCCATCTATGTAATTGGACAATAATTAATCAAATATTTAATGTTCTTTATTAATATCTAAACATTCGATTCCTAACATTTATTTAGGAAGGCCTAGAGATTAAAAAACCAAACTCAGTCCTTTCTAACAGCAACACAATGCTAAAAACCAGGTCCACAATCGCATTAATTACGCAATTATCCTAGAGAGGAGCTAGAGATTGAAAAACCAAACTCTAGTCCTTTCTGACAGCAACAGAAAACAGGTCCACATCGCGTGTGGTTCAATGCAAGTTGTACAGTGACAGTGAGCCGCCCAATTATTATCCAACCAGATGCACCACTCTTGTCAAAGAGTAAAAGTAGAGTGCCGCATGCCCGCATCTGCCCAAGGTATAGTTTTTAACACACAACAAAGAATACTTCTAGTGACTATGTAGGAGTATACAGGTCACAAGAAATCAATATCGTCCTTGAAAGTTACAACTCTGAATGCAACCAAACTCCAGTAAGATTAACCATGGATAAAAGGGGGATCATAGACAAACTCCAGAAAAAATTGAACTAAATCAAAATTCGAAGACATGGTCGCAGCGTCTGGGTGCCCCCCAAAAAAACCCTCATATTATTGGGATACCACATCTTTGGAGACAAGTACACACTGGAGCTCTGCTCAAGCAACAGAAAGGCTCGAGAGCATTACTGTACTTGCAAAAGGATGAACAAAACCATGGATCCTCCACTCTGAACATGACGAGGTAGACACCCTTGTCGAATGAAAAATAGAAGAAAAGAAGAATTTGCCGCTTATGCCATCACAACCGATTCGCCGCTTCCGCAATCATACTGATTTGATCGAACAATTCTGGCCTCTCCAGTTCGAACAAATATAACCAAACTACTACTAGTAGTCCAGAAACCGCGAGAGCGAATGCAGTCATGCAGGGTGAGCAAGGAGATTAGATATCTCACCGGCGGGCGGGAAGAGCGATGCCGGCGTAGCCTGCGGGAACGCGAGCGCCACGTCCAGCGCCGGCAGCCCGACCTTGCTGCCGTCCCCCCCTGCAGCAGCTAAAGGGAACTGGTCAACGACGGCAAAATAATAGCCCACCACCCCCGACCCATCCGCCGGTCGGACGCCGCCATCTGAGAACTCACCTCCTAAGCTGCCCATCGCAGCGCTCGATGGCGGTTAACTTCCCCTCGTGGATCCGGCACCGGCTTCCGGCTTCCGGCTTCCGGCTTCCGGCGAGCTCCCCTCCCGATCGAAGGAGCAGTTAGCAGTAGGTGGAGTAAGAGGAGGAGAGGAGACGAGACGACGGCAGAGCGGCACGATCCGAAACGAAACGTAAACGAAGACGATTTGGTGGGGGTGGACTTGGAGTGGGGAGCCTTTTACGTGACGTGCGGCAACGGAAGTTATCCGCGGACCCACCTGTCATAGGAGGCGGGTTGCGCAGCAGTGACGTCGCCACGTCGGGGTGGTCGATGGATTGGATAGGCGCCGCCCTACCCTACCAGATGGCCACTCCAGTTCTCAACGGCGCCGGATGCGATGGGGCCACCACATGTGCTCCATGCTGCCTCGTGCGGTGCGGTGTGCCCTGCCGTTGTTCCCATCCTGCTGTAACGGTGGAGTGGGCCCCGCGTGGCGGTGGTCAGAGGCTCAGAGCACGAGGGCAGGCGCCTGTCGTAGTGGCGTGTCGTCGCGTTTGCGACTTTGGAGGTGGCGTGTCCGTTCAGTTCGGATGGGCGACGGCCACGGAACGGAACGAAGCGCACCGCAGCCCGCAAGCGCACCGTGTTGGTGACTCGTGAGTCGCGTGAGTCGTGACACGTCACGGACAGCACGGACGTTTTTTTTTCTTTATAAGTTTTGACAGGTTTTTTAATCAAATTAGATCGGTTCAACGAATAATGCTTCTTTTATTTTTCTAATCAGAAACGCTCAGTTTATCTCAACCACTCGTTCTCTACGTTAATTCTGGATGACCTGCTCACCTGAGCTTGCTAGCTAACACAGATTTTCACTAGGTAGGCCATGGATTGCCAGCGACGGTGTGTTTAAGTGTTTCTGACGTTTTCAGACATGTTGCAAATCTATGTTTTAAGTGTTGCAATGGTTGTACACGTATGTTGCAAGCGTCTATTTTCAAAGTTTCATCTGCTTTTCAGACATATGTTGCAAGCGTGTTTATGTGGATGTTGCATATGTTTCACACATATATTGCAAGTGTGTTTATCTGGATGTTGCGTATGTTTGCAATGGTTTTCAAATGTTTTTGTCAAGTGTTTCGGACATATGTTGCAAGTGTTTCAGCTGTTTCTGACGTATGTTGCATGTGTTTTATCTGAATGTTGCAAAAATAGATTGAGAATGTTGCAATATTGCAATGGCTATACACGTATGTTTCAAGTGTTTCGGACGTATGTTGCAAGTGTTTCAAGTTATTATGACGTATGTTGCATGTGTTTCATCTGAATATTGCAAAAATCGATCGAGGATGTTGCAATGGCTATACACGTATGTTTCAAGTGTTTCGGGTGTATGTTTCAAATGTTTGCTGTTTTAGACGTATATTGCAAGTGTTTTATCTGGATGCTGCATATGTTGCAGTAGCTATACACATGTTGCATATGTTGCAGTAGTTATACATATATGTTGCCCCTCCGACGAGCGCCGGAACGAGTGCCTCCTCGCGGAGGTGTAGTACGCCGAGCTGGTCGGCGACGAAGTCTCGGCTTCCAAAGAGGAAGGCCTAGGACGGCTCGGAGACGGGTGGAACCCACATCCCAACCGGTGGGAGCCGAAGCGAATCGTATCGCCTAAGCCCGCCATGGCAAAGGTGGCGGAAAAGTGGGCCATCCGATGATAAAAGGTGTTGAACGTACAGAGTCTTCCCCACGGACGACGTCAACTGTCAGTGCAGAAAGTGACCAACAAGTAAATATTTATAGTTTTGTCCGTACGTTGTGATCGGGGGTGGCCTAGCACTCAATGACACATGGTTTATACTGGTTCAGGTAACTTGCCCTACGTCCAGTTTGAGTTGGTCGGTGTCTTTATTCCTGAGCCCAGATGCTCGAAGTTTGCAGTGGGGTTACAAACGAGAAGGAGAAAGATGGGGTGTACGAGAGGTCCAGTCGGACTCCGGTCAAAAGGGCCGAGAGCGACAGGAGCTCCGCTATGAGCTAAGTGTTTAAGCGTGTGCTTGAGGTTCGAACCTGGTGGTTCTGTGGTTGTGAACTAGTGAACTTGGTCGATCTAATGAATCTGGATTCACTTGAACGTTGAGAGAGAGCGCATCCCCTTTTATAGATGAAGGGGATGGCCTTACAAGTGAGAGGGAGAGAGTACGCGTGCTTCTAAACCTTATTGCCCACGCCGGCGGGTATAGGATGATGGTAGGCATCCACAACATTGTTGGATGTTGGATGCACGTGGGAGGCTGTGTCGTTTTGTTGGTATACGACAGATGTCGGTACCTGCTATACTGTTGATGCCCAGTGGCATGTGAAGGGTTTTACCATGTTCACTCGGTATGGTAAATGCCGGCGCCCACAACACTGTCGATGCCCAGAGGCATGTGGGGGGAGCCTTACCATATGGGAATTAATGGCCCCACAATCATCAGAGGAGAAAATATCGGCGCCTATAACCTTTGTTTGTGCTGGGCGGTTGTAAATCTTATTTTTGGGTGTGTGTGGTCACGGTCCCTGGTATCATGGTTTGACTTGTGCGCCTTGCCTTGCTTTCTCCGTTTGATCCCTGGTCCTTTCTGGGCGGGCGTCCCCGGTCGGTCGGTCCCAGTCGGCTCTGGTTGCGCCAGTCGGAGAAGAGTGGTGAGCAGGGCTTTTGCGTATCCCGGTCGGAGACATGGGGTCAGAGTCGGAAGTAGTGTTTCGGCTAGGCCTTCCGGTCGGAGAGGCCGTCCGAAGGCGGGCTGGAGATCAAAGTGAGCGCTCCGGTCGGAGAGGAGGGTCGGAGTCGGAAAATGGGCGCCGTTCCTCCTCGCTAGGCCTTCCGGTCGGTGATTTGATTGCCCTCCTGGCCTGTCGTTCCGATACTTGGGCCAGCTCATGAGTTGCTCGTTGTCTGCTTGGGCCGAGCCTTTGTTGGAAGCCGGTCCGCGAGGGACCCTGGGTTTATGAATCGACAGGAGCCCCTGGGCGATTCGGGCAGAATCGTCTAGGGGTTTTTTGTCTTTTGCCGGAGGGGTGGCGCTTTCATGGTAGCCCGGGTGATTCGGGCGAGAAGCCCCGGGTGTTTCGTGCGTTGCCAATGGGGAGGTTTTTGTTTTGCCGGTGCGGTGAAGGAAATGTATGTAGCGCACCCTGGTATAGCCTCCGAGCCCCGGACGATAACTTGGGCTGCTGCTAAACATATAACCGGACAGTAGTCTATCCCATTCTTTTAACTTGGGCTGGTCGTGGTGAAAGCCACCAAACATATAACCGGACAGGAGTAGTCTATCCCATTCTTTTGTATATGGGTGATCACCTGCTAGGCTGCTGCTAAGCGTTTGGTGTCGAAGGAACATGCATGCTTCTGCTTGACGTTTGGTGTTGAAGGAACATACATGTTTCTGTTTTAGTCAGGTGGACGTATGGGTGAACACGAGCATGTCTGTAAAATGCCTGCTACCTCATCCGTATTAGCATCATGAATCTCTCGGCAAAAGCAGTTACAGTTAGTTGTGATGAACTCTGGTCTTGGCATCTCTAAATAGATAAGAGATAAGCCTATGTACTGTAAAAACGATAATTAGTATTGTCGATACTATCTTTATGAATTCTTTAATATGAACTTCATGCTATATATTGCTCTACTATTGCATCGGTAGGGCGCCGCGAAGAGCTCTTTATGTATTTTATATTATTGCTTCGCAATGTGACCCTGGTAGGGCGCTTCCTTTTCTAGTATATGAACAATGTGTTGTTCGATGAGGAGATGACGGCGCACGCGCAGGCTTTGGGGATTGCATAAGGGCTTGTTTGTTTCGCGTAGCAGTGGAGCCTGGCTCGTATCTAAGAGCCAGGCTAGGACAATTACATGCAACGGATTTGTCATGTTTGGTTGAGTGTATCTACTCAGCTTGGCTGAGAAGAGATCTTTGTTTGGACCAAGACTGAAGATCGTATGTCGTCTGCTGTTAGCGTTGGTTGACAATGTCAAGTCCCAAACAACCAACCAAGCTGTGTTTTCCTTTTCAAAAAAACCAATACTAGCCAAACCAAAACCAAACACCAGCCCGACCCCAATGGCGTACTGACAGACCCTACATGGGATAAAAATATTATAAGGTTATGATTATGATTTTTATTTTGTACAAATACACTCTTAAAATTCTTATTTTATCTAATTATGTCTTAAACATCTTTAAAACAAATTAATATCACTTGATATTTACTAATCATACACTAATACATCATTAGTCAAGTAAACAGCTACACCAAAGACCACAATTGGCCCAGCAGAAACGATCCGATTCAGGCGTTTCCCAGAAACCTAACCCGGCGCCAGAGCAGCGAGCAACCAAGCGAGGGCATCCTGCATCCCTTGACTGGTTCGGCGGAGATCAAGAGACCAACAGCAGCCCTAAAACTACTACTTTTCTATACTTAATGGCGACAACTATATATCGATTCATCGACCGAGAGGAGTATATATGCCCGGGACAATTAATATAATCGGATACATGTGGCACCGGTGCTAATGAGACAACGTCGCCCGAGACAGAAAAGCCCGAGGACCAAGACTGCAGTGGTCGTACGTGGGCGCTAGTTGTGAGGGCAGTCCGGATGAAAAAACTGAGTTTTTATAACATAAGATACCGTACCAAAAAAAATATACTACTTTTTAATTCATGGTTTCTATGAGTAATAATTATTTTCTCTTTTTCTCTTCCAACTCTATCTTCTTCCTCCAATGAGAGTGCGGTACGAACTCTCTAAAAATTGGTGGTTTCTCCTCAATAGCGATTTCATGGTTTCTTGGTGCATTGGGTCAAGAGAAGACTTGATTTCTTCATGAGGAAACCATTTCTAGGATTTTTGCTCTCTTTCTTCATTAATTACGTTGCCATGTCAACGTTTTGCCTACGTGATAAGTCATTTAATGAGGATAGAAACCATCATCAATACACTATTAGGACTGGCCTAATAACAATATCA